AACAAAGACCTTGGTTACTTAAAGCAGCAAAGATTGGACGGTCTTTGCATTACAATGCATAGAAAACGACCTGAGTTCGGCTGTCTTTCACAATTGATATAACAAAGGCAACAAACTTTTAGTTTTGGGCAAAATTTTTAATGGAGATTATATTAAATTTTTAATTAGATTATATTAAATCTAGGACTACGTTATGCACACAAAATATTAAATTTTGCATGCAAAAAAAAACTTTTCGAAAAATGTTTGTTTGCGTACGAAATTCGATTTGCGGTTGAAAAAAAAGTTCCTAGGCCAAATTTTCAAAATTACTTCAATAATTTTTTTGTCACCATCAAAAAAATTGCCAGTCATACACTTTCCATATATGGGATTTGTATTATAAGCATTTTTTTCAAAAAATGAAAACCTCGGTTTTTTTGCCAGACTGTTTTATAAGAATCAAAGAGCCACATAAATAAGTTTATATCTTTTTTCAACCATTTTTAGAAATTGAATGAAAATTGTATGACAAGCATTTTTCCATACACTTGATGGATGGAATTGTATGATAAGCATTTTTGGTGTATGGAGGTCAACCCGGGTAAACAGTCGAAAGGCTACAAAATATAAAACAAGACTGCTCGTATTAGGGCAAAGCCCTGAATGTTCCGACTGCCTTTTAAGGTTTATGGAGCAGTAACAACATTAAAAATTAAATGTAACAAAAAAATGAAAAGAGAATTTTTCTAAAATTTAATTTATTTTTTTAATGAAATTCTTCCCCACACACTCCATATAAAGTACAAAAGGATAAATTTCGCTGCTTGTAACAAATCAATTATGGCAATAGGCTTCAGTCAACTAATTTGGAACGATTTCAAGACGGATTAAGTCTCCGCTTGCGCGTTAATAGCGAGAAAGATGTGGCGCGTTAATTGTCTCAAATTGGCCAAAATGGCAACCTTTAAACCCCCCATAACTTTACGAAAAAAGATCATAGGTGAAATATCTTTTCAAATTTTAGCTCAGGACAACAATTCTTTTTGAATGATATAGAAAAATTTTGACAAAAATGGCTAAGTAAAAAGTCAAAAATTGTCTGAAGAAAAAAACCCACCCGAGCACAATTATTCCGTTACTTTCGTATCAAAAGTCGGAACAAAAATTGGTTTTAAATTTCCCTTTAGACCTCATTTTAAAGAATTTCGTCAGTGCTGACTTGAACTATTCGGACAAACGATCAAAACTTTGCTTACGATTTGGCAAAAACTTTATGGTGCATAATTATCATAAATTTTGTGAGTAATTATTGCAAGACTATAACAACATGAGCCGCCAATCTAGCCCAACAAAAATTTTGAAAAACTATTTTCAAAATTTAGTCTTAAAAAACACCGATCACAAAAGTTCTGTCACCTTTCAAATTTAGAGCAAAGAAAGCAAGTTATTCCAAAAAACACTGGCGTGCAAGATAATGTTCAAAACAAAGCAAGACTGCTCGTATCAGTGCAAAGCCCTGAATGTTCCGACTGCCTTTCAAGGCTTATGGAGCAACAGTAATACAATAAAAATTTAAATGAAATAAAATAAAATGAAATTTTTTTTCTAAAACTTGAAACTTTTTTATTTGAAGCAACCCCCCCACGCGACATATAAAGTACAAAAATATGTATTTCGTTCTTGTTACAAATCACTTATGGCAAATAAGCTTCGTTCAACCAATTTGGAACGATTTATAAAACGGGTTAAATCTCCGCTTACGCGTTAATAGCGCGAAATATATCGCGCGTTAAATGTCCCAAATTGGTCAAAATGGCCAAAATGGCTATCTTTAAACCCTCATAACTTCACAAAAAATGATCACAGGTGAAATATCTTTTCAAATTTAAGCTCAGAACAACAATGGCTTTCGATTGATATTAAAAAAATTCCGTCAAAATTGGCTAGTTAAAAAGTCGAAAATTATCTGAAGAAAAAAAAACCCACCCCGAGCACAAATATTCCGTTACTTTCGTATCGAAAGTCGGAACAGTTAGCGTTTTCTGTAACACAGCATGAATAAGGCGACAGTTGAATAATCACAATTGAACTCGTTTATTTAAAAATTAAGAGTAATTTTAGATAATACTTGACAGAATACTCATCGAGACCAAAAATCATATTATAATAATCGATTTTCTTCTGCTATAATAACACTATTTCTTCCAAGTACTTTTTCATTGCTTTTCGTTTTCAATATTACGACAGACATAGACAACGAATTTAGATTAGGGCTTCTTTTTCTTTCGTCGCCAGACATGAGTAATAGATGAACGCTTTTAGGACATCCACTCATTCTCCCGTTTTGGAACTGACAACAAAAGGAATCTTTCAATACTGACGTCATTTCTGCTTCTGTTGATCACTTCAATACACGACAGGACATTTTTGAGAACGTTCACTTGCTCTGCGATGTCGTACTTTGTAAGAATCAATGCATAGGGTATCATTTCAGTTCATTTTTCGTTAGCCGCTCAGTTATATTTCTCTACGGAGCAATTTTTAAAAACCATTTCATTTTTGTGTTTCTTCAATTTGCCACTAAATCTATTGCAACCGTGCCACTTTTTTGAATTTGATTGCTGTGAATGTTGCTTTTCATGATTATCGCAGAAATAATTTATTTTATCGAACTTATTTCAAATAAGTGATTCTTACACAAATTTTTGGCCAAAAAACGTCAAAATAAAAAATTTTAAATACGTCCACCGCGCCTAAGATTTAAAAAAAATTGGATCAAGTTTGGCGCCTTTGGACAAACACTTTTGACCTTTTAACTAAAATGACCGAGAAGGGATAGGCAGATGAAAAGGAATTCCTACAGAATGTATCCTTAAATTGGCAGAACAAACAATAATAAAGTGAGTGAAAATGAATTAGTTTGCATTAGATTCATCTCAATTCTCAATAAAATTTTTTTTAAATCTTACATTTTAGAACATTCGAACCCTTCCCGCACTGAAGTTTCATGGATAATAATCGATTATATTGGATTTTTATTGTCAGTCTCTACAAAATAGCAAAAATAATCGATTATAATCGATTGAAAATGGATTATAGTGATAATATTTTAAAAGCAATAAAATCCCAATATAATCAATTAGAATCGATTATTTTCAAAAAAAAAATTTCAAAAGAAAAATAATCCAATTTAATCAATTATAATGGATTATAATCTATTAATTCAAATCTTTTTTTGTGTTTTTTTTCATAATTTTGTGAAACTTAAGTTAGTTATTTTGTCTTAATTTCTTTTCGCTTAATTTCTTTTTTTCCTATTTTCAATCGAGTTATTGAAAAATTACAAAAAGTTACCTATAGATCCCACACCAACCCCACCGCTTACCCGTACTACAGTCAGATGTCCCCTTACTAGAGAGAGAGAGAGAGAGAGGGGGGGGGGCACGTCATGGTTAGGGTTTGCGTGGGGGAATGGGTAACGTGAGGGGGTTACGTCGTGGGTTGGGGGGTACCATATTGTTTTTTTAAAATGCTATCACGGTACAACCGGATGGTTTACATGTTCCCGCTGAACCGTACCACTGGTACTATAGAATGGGCATGTAGCCCGGAGCTGTGTCAAGTGGGTTCGACTCTGTAGTCATGATGTCGTAAAATTACCCAGGAGCGCCATAAAAACACTATGTAACATTCGCCTACTTCAGTCACATATGAGGTTGAAGAGAAATAGGCCCTATAACTATTGGCTCAAGAGTCAGGGACACTATATCTTGTGTTTTTCTACCTCGAACGGTCGGAGCCATTTCGGTTCACTTGCGACATGAGACTAAAACCTTTGTTATAGCTTAAAAGCCACTACCAAATTACCCCCCACACTCTAGAAAAAAAGAACGTCCCCATACTTAGGTCTCAAAATACCCAAAATACGCGAACGCCGTTAAAAACAGGGTCGGAACAGTCCGTACAGATACTTTTTATTAGACAGTGGAACTTTGATCCATTTCAGATGGATCAACCTAAAACTCTCCCTACCTCAACATAAAAAGTATAAAACACACTCAAGAAAATCAAACTGGGTACTCACATACCAGCACACTCGAGAATTGGAGTAATTAAATTAATCGGTTACTCTAGCATCAAAGGAAATTAAGTTTTAACTCAAGAAGTTTGTTATTAACGAATTCCAGTAAAGGAAATGAGTTTCGACACCCGAAGACGAAGTTCCTCCTGAATTTCAGGGGTAGGAAAAATCGAGTCAACATGGGGTTTTGGGTGATGAATCAATCTTTTGACAAGTAATTGAGCAATTTGAGTTTTGTTGGCTACCTGTGACATATCTATGGATGAGTGACGTCTTCCCCGCACATGCATCTCCCACCACTTTGATCTGTATCGTTTTGGGTGCTGAGCTGCATCCAGTTGCAGTCATCAGATATGGATTTGCAATACTTGTGAAATTGTATACCAATATAATTAGGTCAGCAACTAAGCTTGTTTATGAATCATGAACTCTCTCAGTCTTTGTTATTTGGATATAGTTGACGACTAACAATTTACTTGCTCTCTGATTGAAAATCCGACGTTTGATGGTCATTTTAATTTACTTAATCTTTAATCAAAATGTATAAGTCGAGCATATCTGACCCGAATAAGGATTGACTTTAGATTTTAAAATTTAAATGATGAAGTACCTAAACTCACCAGAGGGAAGCTCGAAGGATTTCTTAAAACTATCTTTTAAATTTCCGAGGAGAAAAAGAGGAGTGAAAAGTTCAAACTGTACTATTTATATCAATCAAAATAAACTGCTGTCAAAATATATTTTTGAGTTTTCGGCAAATAAAATATAAATAGTTTTGTTCAAGGTCAACATCTCAGTCGGGACCAATCAAGCCTTTTAGGGCAGTTGTGTGAAACTTAATTGATTACACCTTGCCATACTTGCTGCCCCAGTCCATTCCGTGGGTGGACCCTGCGAACTCATAAGCACACGCCTGTCTGTGTGCGTCGTCAGTGATAAACTTGATGTAGTCCACCTCCTGTCTGAATGGCCCCTCGAAGTGTTCGACTAGACTGAAGCCTATGTTGCGCACCATGGACCTGTCTACGGCTGTGGTTTGGCGACATATCATGCCCTTGTTCGACAGCACCAGGTGCGAAAACGGAATCTACACACACGGAATCTATGAACAAGCAGATACGTGACCAATACGTGGTACATAATTAGCTTTAAAATGAAGGCAAAGTAAGTAACAGCTGATTCGACATAGTTCTTATTAGCCATTTATAACCCCCCCCCCCAACCTCCAATTATAGTCAATTATTTCCAGATTCCCCTTTTGGTACTTTTTTCGACACACTTTCTTCACATTTTTCAAAATGTCTCCATGTTATTGAAAATCCTTGCAAAAAAACCCTTGCGCACGCCACCGACTGAAAACCAATAAAATTTCTAAGGTGCCTGCTTCAGAATTGTGAGTTTTCGCAATCATTTTTCAGTAAAACTTAATTATTGCCACCACGATAACAGCTTTGATGTTTAAAAACGTGGAAGATCTTCACATATCAACACATGACCATTTACATGTAGAGTTAATTTTGTCAGTAGCCTCGTGGAGATTTATTGAAGTGTTTCTATGTAATTTGCAAAGTTTCTACCTGAACGACTTCCCAATAGGGACCGCCCCTTGTGAAGATAGGGTGGAAGTAGAGATCCTCATAAGTGGCGTCAAACTGTTCGTCAATTTGCAGATGCCAATCCACATTGCCAGTCCACAGTAATTTCTTATTCGCACCAAGGGCTAAAGAAGCAATCAAATCATTACTTAAACTTTAGTCTTCTTCCGTAGATATAGATTTCAGCCACGATAATTCATTTCTAATAATATAAATTTGCCGCAGTTTCAGACACCTCGAATCAATCCAAAATAAAGCAAGACTTCTCGTATCAAGGCGAAGCCTGGAATGTTCCGACTGTTGTTTTACGACTGAAATAACTTTTGAAAACATCAATTAAAACAAATAAACTTTTCCCGATTTTTTTAATCCCCACCCTCACACATGATGCCAAGTATAAACACAGAGGCGAAACTACGCTTCGAAAACACTAGCGAGAAAACCACAAAAATGCGGGCCTATAAAGTGCAATGAGAAAAGGTTAAAATAAGCCTTGAAATTTTATTTTGCTGTGGCGGTTTCGATCTTACCACCAGGAGATTTCAAGTTCCTTGTCCTGGCATTTGAGCAACGGGTCCTTCACAATTTACTAACACTAGCCATGAATAAAGCAGCTACATGTGCTTATAAATTGTCAATGCGATGAGGCAAAAGCGGCACCAGTTACAAATAGACGCAATTTTGCATGTAACAATTTGGAAAACAACAAACTGAAGACATCCACACCAATTTTGCATGAAATAAACTGGAAAGCAGAAAACCAAATTGAGCATAATAATGAATTTCAAAAAATTGCGAGTTGGAAAATTTCTGAAAGCGAGTTTTTATTATTGTACTGTTGTTTGATACAAACACCTTATTTCGGTTCATTTGATCAATGAAAAATTTAACTGTGTTAAGTTATTACTAATTGAATGTCATGGCACAGCTATCGAAAAGCCACCACCACAAAAAAAAAAGAAAAAAGAAAAGCCGTACAATAAAACAGTCCAAACTAATTATATACGGATGAAAGTTGCCTTGGCTCGCCGCATATCGGTTGGAACTTTTGTTTAGAGTCCTATCCCTCTGTTAAGAAGGAAAGAACCAACTGCTCGTATGAGGGAAAAGCCGTGAAAGTTCTAACTGTCGCCCTTCAACGTCAATGATATAGGTTTTAAGATTATAACAAATAATATTTTGCTTAAATTGTTTGCTCCGTTGTTTGCTTAAAGTTTTCGCCCAAAGCCTGCGTAAAAAGTGCAAAATGAAAAGTTTAGCATCAACGAACTCAAGAATTTAGCTAAGTATTAATAAAGCCAAATATCTTTCGTCGAAACAATTTGGAAAAATTTTGGTCAAACAATTTTGTCTGAAGAAAAAAAACCAGACTACACCAAGCACAAATATTCAGAACACAAAGTGGGAACAATGAAAGCAAGCTAAGCGTAAGATCTTTCTTTGGCGTATTCTTCTGTAAATGATCACCTAATTTGCTGTTGCTCTTTCCTCCCATGTCACCATCTCCCATGGATACCCACTGTCTCACCACATCTGCACTGTCGAACTTGAACAACGTCAGAGACTCCTGATGACTTTGACTGGAAACAAACAAAATCACAACTTCCATACCATACTTGCATATGCATGTTGGCAAGTACCTGTGTGACATGGTCAGCCATTTTTGTGTTTGGAATAGGGATGAATTTTATGCGTCTTCCGCTAATCACAATAACTTAAAATAAAACCAAAACTCAAACTCCAAAAAACAAAAACATCCATGTTCTAACCACAGTAGTTCATAAAAGGACTTCACAAATAAAGCCATTGTTTCGATTTTTTTCTAGCTTATTGTTATTTATTATAAAGATTGACTGAATTAGTTGAAAAACTGCAGGAACGATAAATAATAATAGCTATAACACATATTAACTTCTAGAAGAACTAAAATGAGGACTAAAATCAGCCGCTAAGTAAAATACGCCTCTCAACCAAATCCGTCTTATGTATTCTGAAAGTCGAAAAAAGCCAGTTTTTCTCGACAGAGAACTTTTCTGATTTTTTAAGACGGAATTACAACTTATCGATAAATATTACGCTACCTCACTCGACGCCCTACTTGCTTTCCTCGAGATAGTCAAAATTGGCGGAAAAAACTATAACAAACGGACCCTATGCCAGATCAGTCAGAACAATAAAAAATCGATTGGTTTACAACTACAAGCACAAACTTGGAAAGAAAACGGGAATTTCAAATGCACAATAAACATACTATGTGACCAAAACGCCATCATCGTGACCTATATAAGAGTCTGACCTACGTCCATACTATTAACAAACGAGTAACATATGCCGTGAATCGACCGATTAATTTGCTCACCACTCTCTTTGGAAAAGTGTCATTGAATGCAATGAAAGCGATAAAAAATACTGTCAAAAGAGTTGTTTTTTGAAATCTTCAAGTTTTGAACTTCCAAAAAAAGATAACTTCACGAAGAATAATAATTGACTATCTTTAATAAAATTAACCCCATGTATAAAAACTGGATCAAGAGAAAATTTTTCTATTCCACTGAGATGTTCAAAAATAAAATTCACTTTCGAAACTATAAGATCACTTTTTCATAACATTTACACTTCTGCTGTTCGACAGCGGAGTTCGCCTTCTTTTCAACGAAGGAAATAAAGTGAACTTACAAAAAAATCAAAAGTCAAACCGCGAAAACAAATTGTATCACTTTTCCTAGAAAAAAAACTATAAAAAAAAAATTATCGCGACCTACGTTCATCGGTTCTTAAAAAATGAGTATACCATTTTAATAACCGACCGAAATAATTGTTCGCCAGTCTTAAAAAAACGCTTTGTCATTTCACTTCGCTCACTCAAATAATGATGAGAAAAGTGGCTGAAAAACTAAACGAAATAGAGAAAACATTGCCAATTTTTGGAAAATTGTCATTGAATGCAATGACACAGAAAAAAATACGGTCAAAAGAGTTGTCTTTTAAAAATTTTGATTGAGTCTTTTTGAACCCCCATGTAAAATTAACCCCATGTATGAAAGCTAGATCAATAGATAAATTTTCTATTCCGCTAAGAAATTCACAATTAAATTCACAAATTCACAAGTCAATCACAATTTTCGAACATTTCCGCTTTCATTATTTGAGTGCATATTTTACATTTCTATTAGCAAGTGACTTTGAATTGAATTTGAAAGGAAATCAAAAGTTAGGCAGCAAAAAATCAAATTTGCCGTGAACAAGTTAAAAGCTTTCCTGAAAAAAAAAACGACTTGAAAATCATCACGAGCTATTAAATGTCTTCACTAAGTTCATTGACACTAAAAAAATTATGGCAAGGTTACATAGACTACTTTTGTTGATACCAGGTAAATTGCCACATCTAAACAAAAATGACATGAAAACCTCAATTGCTTGCAACTTTACAAAAGCCAATCATATCCATTTAATATGATTTTTAAAGATTTCATAAGTTTTGGACGTTGAACGTGAAGTTATTTCACTGGTACCATATTGTATGTGTTACCACTAATTATCCTTTTTTTTATCCACCTTGATAGTTGAAAAGTTGATATTGAAAAATTTAACTAGCGCGTCAATCGCACCTCCGGTGCTACAAAACCAAGTCTTCAGAAAACAGACAAACGAAAATTCTAGAAAAACAAAAAGATTTAAGCAGTCATTCTTGAATTCCAGATAAACACTGAAAGTACCCTGACAGCAACACACTAAAGGTTGAGAAATTGAAGTTCGGAGTGTTTTTTATCTAGTTTTTTTTATCTCTAATTTTTTTTTGACAAAAAAACGAAAAAAATCATAAAAAACGCTATTTCTCGAAAATCAAAAAGAAATTGAGCAGTCATATTTAGACTCCAGATTTGCAAACCCTGGATGTACCCTGAAAACACCCCAATATAGGGTTGACAAATCGAAGTTCGGTTAATTTTTGTTTGATTTAAGTTTTTTTGAAAAAACAAATGAAAAAATCATAAAAAACGCAAATTCTCGAAAACCAAATCGATTTGAGCAGTCAAACTTGGAAACCGGATTTGCAACCCCTGAATGTACCCTGATAGCACTCACTATTGGGTGGGGAAAATCAAGTTCTGTTAGTTTTTTAATATCTAAGTTTGGAAAAAAAACTAAAAAATCACGAAAAACGCAACTTCTCGAAAACCAAAAGAATTTGAGCAGTCACAATGAAATGCCAGATTTGCAACTCCTGAATATAGCCTGACAGCACCACACTATAGGGTTGAGAAAAAGAAATTCTAGTTTTTTGTATCTAAGTTTTTATATCTAATTTTTTTAAAAATTTTTAAAAAATTATAAAAAACGCCACATCTCGAAAACCAAAAAGATTTCAGCAGTCATACTTGGACTCCAGATTTGCAACCCCTGATTTTACCCAGACAGTACTTCACTATAGGGTTGTGAAATTGATGTTTGCTTAATTTTTTTATATCTAAGATTTTCAAAAAAAAAAACGAAAAAATAATAGAAAACGCAATTTCTCGAAAACCAAAAGGATTTGAGCAATCACACTTGGACGCCAGATTTACAACTCCTGAGTACCTTGACAGCACCCCACTATAGGGTTGAGAAATTCAAGCTCGGTTCCTTTTTAGTATCCAATTTTTTTTATATCTTAATTTTTTTGAAAGAAACATGAAAAATCATAAAAAACGCCATATCTCGAAAATCAAAAGGATTTGAGCGGTCAGAGTTGGACTCCCGATTTGCAACTTTTGAATGTACCCTGACAGCACCCCAGTATAGGGTTGAGAAATTGAAGTTCGGTTAATTTTTTTAATATCTAATTTTGTTTGAAAAAAAGAAATCATAAAAAACGCAATTTCTGGAAAATCGAAAAGATTTGAGCAGTCATACTTGGACGCCAGATTTGCAACCCGTGAATGTACTTTGACAGCACCCCACTATAGGGTTGAGAAATTGAAGTTCGGTTAATTTAATTTATATCTAAGACTTGAATAAAATAATAAAAACACCATTTCTCGAGAACCAAAAGGCTTTGAGCAGTTATACTTAGACTCCAGATTTGCAACACCTGAAATTACCCTGACAGCACCCAACGATAGCGTTGAGAAATTGAAGTTCGGTTATTTTTTTTATAGCTGTTCTTTGATCGAAAAAATCATAAAAATCATAAAAAACGCAAATTCTCGAAAAACAAATGGATTTGAGCAGTCAAACTTGGACACCGGATTTGCAACCCCTGAATGTACCCTGATAGCACCCACTATGGGGTGGGGAAAATCAAGTTCTGTTAGTTTTTTAATATCTGAAATTGGAAAAAAAACTAAAAAATCACAAAAAACGCAACTTCTCGAAAACCAAAAGAATTTGAGCAGTCACAATTGAACGCCAGATTTGCAACTCCTGAATATAGCCTGACAGCACCACACTTTAGGGTTGAGAAAAGGAAGTTCTAGTTTTTTGTATCTAAGTTTTTATATCTAAGATTTAAAAAAAAAAAATGAAAAAACATAGAAAACGCAATTTCTCGAAAACCAAAAAGATTTCAGCAGTCATACTTGGACTCCAGATTTGCAACTTCTGATTGTACCCTGCCAGCACTCCACTAAATTGTTGAGAAATTGAAGTTCGTTTAATTTTTTTTAAATCTAAGTTTTTTGAAAAAAAAAAAAGAAAAAATCAATGAAAACGCTATTTCATGAAAACCAAAAAGACTTGAGCAGTCATACCGGGACTCCAGATTTGCAACTCCTGAATACCTTGACAGCACCCCACTATAGGGTTGAGAAATTGATGTTCGCTTAATTTTTTTATATCTAAGATTTTTCAAAAAAAAAAAATGAAAAAATCATAGAAAACGCAATTTCTCGAAAACCAAAAAAATTTGAGCAATCACACTTGGACGCCAGATTTGCAACTCCTGAATACCTTGACAGCACCCCACTATAGTGTTGAGAAATTCAAGCTCGGTTTCTTTTTAGTATCCAATTTTTTTTTATCTTAATTTTTTTGAAAGAAACATGAAAAATCATAAAAAACGCCATATCTCGAAAATCAAAAGGATTTGAGCAGTCAGATTTGGACTCCCGATTTGCACTTTCTGAATGTACCCTGACAGCACCCCAGTATAGGGTTTGAGAAATTGAAGTTCGGTTAATTTTTTTTATATCTAATTTTGCTTGAAAAAAAAAGAAAAAATCATAAAAACGCAATTTCTCGAAAATCAACAAGATTTGAGCAGTCATACTTGGACGCCAGATTTGCAACTTCTGATTGTACCCTGCCAGCACCCCACTATAAGGTTGAGAAATTGAAGTTCGGTTAATTTAATTTATATCTAAGACTTTTGAAAAAAAAATAGTAATGAAAACACCATTTCTCGAGAACCAAAAGGATTTGAGCAGTTATACTTAGACTCCAGATTTGCAACACCTGAAATTACCCTGACAGCACCCAACGATAGCGTTGAGAAATTGAGGTTCGGTTATTTTTTTATAGCTGTTTTTTGATCGAAAAAATCATAGAAAACGCAATTTCTCGAAAAGCAAAAGGATTTGAGCAGTCATATCGGGACTCCAGATTTGCCACCCCTGATTTTACCCAGTCAGCACCCCTCTATAGGGTTGAGAAAATGATGTTCGCTTAATTTTTTTAGAACTAAGATTTTTGAAAAAAAAAAGAAAAAATCATAAAAAACGCCATATCTCGAAAATCAAAAGAATTTGAGCAGTCATACTTGGACTCCAGATTTGCAACTTCTGATTGTACCCTGCCAGC